ACATCAATGTTGGCTCTTTGTTGGGGATCTGCTAGTATCAAGTCAAGGGTTCCCAAATATTGGTGAAGCTCATTACTCTGCAGCTGCATGAAGGACAGTAAGTTCGTTGTTGATGCTTCTGAAGAGGAGGTTGATGCATGAATTGACAAACATGCATATGTAGCAAGTGCACTAGTTGCAAAAAGTAAAACAATGATGAAGTAATGTATCGTTCCCGTGCTAATTACCAAGTTTCCTAATTCTTTCACTAATTGAAGGATACAAAAATGTGAAATTGTGGGGGAAAGTAAAGCTAGAAATAAAACACAAAATCAAACAACTAAGATTAACACTAAACTAATCAACACAAATTCAAATCAAGGTAAAAGAGGTTAGGGTTCGACTTCACTAGGATACTCTGGTTTAACCTACAATTTCTATTGCCTCCAAATTCATATGCAAGGATTATAAATCAAATTTCTTAAGTTGTAGAATATACCTTCTCAAGTTATATTCTCCTACCTATCCCTATTAAACTTCCGCACCCAACAAAATGAAGGTTAATATTTCAAAGTGTATCAAGCCAAATGGAATCCTATAAAGATTTCATAGATTGCTAAACCTATCTCTAGCATTTGCTTAATCTATGATGTTTACTCTAAGAAGCTAACATATGAATCACTTCTCAGTCTCATCATGCTCAACATTCAATTGAATCAAAAGAAACCAACATCCAACTGCATTAAGAACAAGAACAAACACATAATCCAAGCAATAGAACTCAAAAACAACACAAATTTATAGATTAAACCACTGTAATCCAAGTTACATCAAAACCCTAACCCAAAAGTGAGTTAGTTCATGCTCAAAATAAAGAAAAACATCACACAAACTATAAATTTAGAGTTCAACATATTAGAAATTGAAAGAGGAATGAATTCTTCCCTATTTTGGAGACCCAATTTCCTCCAATCTCCTTTTCCTCTTCCCCTTATCTAACAATGTCGACCTCTTTTTCAAAATGAGCTAAGGCTCTCTTAAATAGTCGACCAAAACCCTAGGACTCAAGACTAAAACTGGAAAACACACCGTTTTTACAAAACAAATCATTTCAGAATTTGCCGAGGCGAACTTGATTTTCGCCACGGCATCACAACGAAACATAAAAAGCCACATTGAACCCACGAGTTTCATGCCGTGGAGAAAATCAAGTTCGCCGCAGTGAAACTTTGTCTTCAAATGGTTGAAATTATAGAACTACCCTTGCATGCTCCAACACTTGAATCTTCGATTTTCTTTTTCCTTCTCATTCATCTGAGCTTCAAGGGTGCTTTCAATCAACCTCTGATCATCCCTAACTCTGAAAACTCTCAAGTTTGAATCGATTGCCCTTGTTTTTGCTTCATTTCAATCCGAAAATGCGTTTTAGACCTGAAATATGAAATGAACGAATTAAGTGGCAATTTAGGCCTAAATTCAAAGGAAAATATCCGAAAATCCTACCAAATAGACAAGAAAATAGAAATATCCACGGATTATCAAAGGCTATGCTTCGGGTTCGGGTCTTCTTCGACCTATTAAGTGCACTCCAGGAGTCGAAGTCTTCATTTGTGTCTTCTGATGCTACTTCCTTGGGTATTGCATCTCTTTACTGGTTCTCATACCTGCTTTCATATTGCAAATATACCTCTGCAAGAAATTGTCTTACCTCTCCTAGTTGATTGGCATATGCTTCATCTCGTAAATTTTCACTTAACATGTCTAAACCATTTTCGAAACCCACTAATTTAATTCTAGGATAAAATATGGCAACTAAACAAAAAAGAAAAGGGACGGGTTTCCAACTTTTTTAAAATTTTAATTCCATTGCCTCTATTGGTTCCCCTAAAATGTCATTGTTTCTGTTTTTTTTTAAATAAATATGAAATTTTTTATAATTGTATGTATTACCAATGGACTAGTAGGATAATATACACCAGAAAATTTTAAAGTAGACTAATAAAAGATTTTAAGAAAATAATGAAACTTTTTAGCTATATGTCAATCACTGTCTACCAAATAATGAGGACTCCTATTATTTGCTACATAATAACTAATTAAATTTGCATAAGGTAAACATGAATCAAGCATTAAGTAAGTACTATTTCATCTAACAAGCATGTCTAATGCAAAAGTTCTAGGAGACAAATTTGATTTTATACAAGCATCTTGAAATTCACCATTTCTTTTACTACTACTAGTAATCCAAGCTAAAGAATCCCTAACTCTATAAATATTATTTCTAATTTTTTTACTTTTCACATCTAAATTAATAATGTGACATGTACAACGTTGGTAAAAAAACTTCAAATTGTCATAAATAGGAAAATTTGTTTTAAAAAAAATCTATAACTCTACTGTTAGCACTTGCATTATCTAAAGTCAAACTTATCACTTTGTGAACAATATCATAATCTTCTAAAACTTCAAAAAATTTATTATAAATTTATTGACCACTATGATCCACATCCATTAATCTAAATCTCAATAAAGATTTATTTAATTTACATTCGTTATCAAAATAATGACTAGTTACACAAATATAATCTTGTTTAGCTCTACCACTCCAAATATTGGCGGTTAGAGTCACACTAACATGACAACTATGTATGTTATTTCTTAATTCTAATTTCATTTTCCCAAAAAATTTTATTAAATCATTTCTAGTTGCAGTTTTAGAATAAGTTTTAAATTTGGGAAAAAAATAATTTTTAATAAATCTTCAAAATATTTATCTTCAACCATATTAATAGGTTGATCAAGTTGCAGAAATATATAAAGCTAATTGTTCCCTATATACATCAGAATTATAAAGCCAAGAAGTACCCATACCAGTTATTTGAGTTTGATTGGTTTCTCTATTTCCATGATGATTTATATGTTTACTAGCATGTCTTTTTAAAGTACTAGTACCATTACCTGCATCAACTTTATAAATATTTCTACAATACTTGAATCTTGCTTTCTTCACTTGAACTCAATTTTCTGTCTCGTAAAACTTTTTGAAATGCACCCAAACGTCTGATGTGTGCCTGTTGTCGGTTCCAACTATAGTTGATGAACCCGCTTCTGCTTGAGATGGAGTTGGATGAGGACGACAATTACGAGAACGACCTCTAGAACCACCAGGAGCTGTAGCAGCATGGACAAGAAGGGGGGAATATTATGAGGTGTATCGGATTCTAAGAATGGGAAAGCGAAACTGTTTGAATCTACTACATTTACGTTAGTAAATTCAGGGAGACTAGGATAATTTTCTTCATCATCGAAATTGATGGGATGGAAATATCTATCCATTCTAGTTTTTTTCTTAAAAAAAATAAAAATAAAAATAAAAAATAAAAAAAAATAAAAATTGGATATAAAAGAATTAAAAAAGGAGAATTGGAATTTGGAAATATGAATTGAAAATTACAAAAAGCCAAAACCTAATAAAAATTAAAATGAGAGCAAATTGACAACAAAGAGATTGAGAGATTTCAATAGAGATTAGAGAAAAAGAGAGAATTTGGGATGTAACGAAATACAAGATGTTTAGGCCCTATTTATAGAAAAAAATGGGAAAAGAAAATAACCAAAAAGCCAACTACTATAAAACAGCTATATTTAAAGAGTAAAATGGGTTTCTACAAAAAAAAAAAAAACAAATTAATTAAATTTTTTTTTTTTGGTCCAACTCGTAGGTCACCCGGCCGTTGCCATTGAGCTGCCGCCAAGTGACAACCCCCAACCCGGCAAGTTGGATGGGTTTTGAAAAAAAAAAAAAAAAAAACAACCTGCCGGTAAGGTATACTCGGGCCAGGTTGAACCCAAGTTGAGGCAGCCTAGGTTAGGGTTGACCCGCCTAACTCAGCCCATTTGTTCCACCTCTAGTATCTCCTGGAACGCGAAGATGATGTTCGCACGGGATTGCATAATTCTCCCCTATCCGCCTCAGATCAACCTCGGTGATCAAAGAGGTCAGATATTTCCTAAACCTAGTTTGATGCGGGGGACTTGCACCAGGGTTTTCCTCACCCTGGTTCAATGAGTTCTCCCACTACTTGCGGTCCGCTCAAGAGCCACAGCACCAAGCTCATCCTGAGCTCTCTCCCCACTACCAAGCTCACTCGTGGGTACCTGAAACAAGGAGACAAGTATCAAATGTCAAAAAACGAGCAACCTATCCATACTTGCCTCCAATTCAGACATCCAGAAAGCTCGTAAAAAAAGAAACGAAAGTGAGCTATCTAGATTCATAGCAACCGAGGAGAATTCCGACAAAGGATTCTGACGACTGCTCATCAAGACGTTCCTAAACCCAAGGTTAGAGGGTTTTTTAAACCTAAAAGAACTAACCTAGCCGTGATATTGGCCACCCCGACAATAAAAACTTCAAGAAAACAAAAAGAATGGGTATAAAGAAACTTACTAAAATGCATAGACGAAAAGGTTAGTCGAAAAGTCGTCGTGAAAGCAGGAAGTGAGGATCACAAAGGAAAAGATGAGCCAGCCAAAAAGCCTAAGATTGCAAGAATGGGAGATTAAGAGCAAATAACCCGTTTTACAGTGGCAAGCGGAAATCCAAATCGACAAGATTCAACCTAGGCCATTGATTTACGACAAATCTTAGCCCTATATTCACCGAACAATCCTAACGGATCAAAAGGTTTGTGAGATAAGTTTGTCAATCCCTTTAAAAATTATTTTTCCCGTGTTCTAATAAGCTATAGTTTGTTTTGATTGCAATGTTGGTAATTTTGAAATTAATGGAAAATTAATTTAAAATTAGGACTAAATTAACGAGATATTCTTTTTGATTTTCTTCCGAATCTTTTTTTAGTTGTTCAAATTCCAATATAATTTCATAAGGGTTACCATCCATACCTCTCCTCACTGAAATGACAGTCTAATAAAAAAAACTAAAATACCAACCGTATGTAATATCTGTAACAAGGTTATACAGTTGGAATCAAAATCTGGAGCTCAAGAACAAAGAAAAATAATGAAAAAAAGGAAGATAAACTTGATAAGAATATTTTTACAGTGATATTGACTAGGTACCACAAAGAGCAATTGATAGATCTAAATTAATGTTATTATATCTCCTGGAAGATGAACCAAAGCATTCTTTAAAATTAGACCTAGAGTATGAAATTGCCTCGCTCATCTCGCTTGTTGAAGAACAACCATTACTTCTCTGGGATGGCAAAGAGAGTGACAACGATAACTCGTAATCAACAACCTCTTTGTCATCTGCTCTTCCCCTTCCATTGTTTCCATGTGAGGAATTTAAATCCTCTAGTTTATCAACCTGAGAAACAAAATATTCAGATACGTAAATTTTAAATAATCAAAGCTTATTCAAAATCATGAGAATCCAAATTCATATTCACTACAAAACAAATACTGGGTATGTTTTTTATCATTATTTTGTCTTTGTAAATGAAATTCAAAGTTGATTTTTGCAAGAAATGAACTGCCAAAATCAGAAAGGGCAGCCCTATTATTCGAGAAACGGGCAGTCCTCGCTACCACTGAAAACTTAAAAAAAAAAAAAAAAAACTGTTGGTTCTAAAGTACTGTGTTTCAACGCAATAAAAGCTCATTTTGAATTTCCGTTTGAACCTCCCAAGAGGTCCCCCATCAATAATAATAAATTAATAATAATTGTGAAGTATTCTATACTGGACCACTGAATTAGGGAAAACTTGACTTAAGATTTTCTCATCTGCAAGCAACAAAGAAAATAACTAAAATTTACATATAAAGAATGTGTGTGTTAATTTCACTGGCTTAATTGCCACTAACTAAAGTGCTTTAAAGGGTAAAGAAAGATAATTAAAAAAATTTCAACCCTAAAGGGAGTGCTTTTCCCAGAATGGTTTCAAGCTGTGAAGCGAAATGAAAGCACAGTGTGCAGATGTCGAAAGCTGATCCAAAAAGTATGGATATTCCATGCATCCAGTGGTCATAAAGGCAATAATATTCAGGTAATGGGTTTATTTCATATATAATATATTATTCCTTGTGGAATTGTTTAATGCTAAGCATACACAAATTTTCCAAAAACCATTAAAAACTCCTCTATAATTATTAAATATCCTTAAAATTATTAAAATTGCCTCTATTTCAAGGGGGTTTTTAATATTCTAAAAATTTTTAAGTGTGCTTAAGATTAATGAACCAAGAAAACTTAAAAGAAATACTACCCTACAATCTGTGGATGAGTTGGGTGAAACAACAAGCAAACTTGATACCGAAACACCAACATTACACTCAACCTCATCAGAAAAGCTGGCAAAAGAAAGAGAGTTAAAAAGTGTACCCTGAGGAAATGAGATTCTGGCAAAGCATATTTGAAAGAGTTTAGGTTGCGAAGATGAAGTGGTGATGGAGCAGGTGCACCATAAGCCTCCTTCATTCCTTTATGCAGATAATCATCAAAAGGGTACGGAGTTGAGACAGTTTCACATATTCCTTGGCTGCATTGCTGCAGGTTCTGATCAGAGATTGAACTCATTGTCTCGGTTCTAGCTCTGATAAGAAAATTTAAAACAGAAGGAATTTAAAGAAAAGGCAAGGACTTTAAAAGAAAAAATCAGATAATGTAAATCTTTTTTAGTTGGTTTTTTCACACTAGTGTTCAACTTTTAGTGACATTTTTGGTAAGTGTGAAACCCTGAGGAGGTGAAGCAAAGCGGACCTTTTTGAAGGTTGAGTAGTGTAGATGCATTGAGAATCTGATTCTTTTATTGGTTCTGAAGATGGGTGCTGAAAACCCATATCATTTTCTTCATCAACACACCCATCATGGTGTTCAAAAGATTGTCTTCCTTGCTGAGTAGAACTCTTATCTGTCATTTGCAAGGAAAAAATGCAAGTTGAGCAAAGATTTTTTCTGAGGATGATAATCCATGAATGTGCTACGTCTTTTGCATTTAACATGGGTTTGATTCAGAAAAATTATAGTGACTGTGGATTTCATAAAAAAAATACCAATATTAGATTATCTGGAATGGTGCAGGTTAACATTTGTCGTCATCTATTTTGGTACCAACTAAGGCAGAAAGAGAATAATATAATAAATGAAGTGTTACAGCACCTACTCATTTCTAAAGGAAAAATTGTTAAAATTGTGAGTTCATAGAATTTTATTTGGACTTTGTATAAGAACCAATTGAGGAAACTTCATTGCGCAGAATCGCCTGCCTTAAATGCATAGACAAAATTATGTATATGATGGACCAAGTCACCAAACACAATTCTTAAGGTTGATTTTCCAAAATGTGGAAAACGAAATGAAAACTTTAGAATATGAAGAAATTAAATTTAAAGATTTCAATTTACCTTGTCTTCCCAGATCACTCCTCATGCTTCTATACATCTGGTGGGAACAAAAAGGATCCATATCAAACAATAAACCCGGTTAGAGGACAATATTTCAAGCTATTTAAAGAAAGAAAAAGTAGCATAATAAAACAAAAAGAAGGCCAACCTGGAGATGGCTCTTGACATGTGAAATGGTGAGTCCTTTCACATCCATCAACTGAAGAACAAGTTTAGGAGTAGCTTCTACAGAGGAAACACTTTTTATGAGAAGAACTAACAAACAAAAGATAGATAGTAGAGAAGAAACTTACTTTCATGGCCACCAAGTCTCTCAATAGCGTGAACAAAACAGTGATGAAGCTCAGGAGTCCATCTCAAACGAGGCACCTTTGATCTTATATACTGCCTCACCGCTCCACTCCTCCCACAACTACCCATTTTGTAGAGAACTCAAAAAAGAAGTTCAAAAAACGCCTTTAAAAGAAACGAGTTGATGATATTCAATCTTGTTGGAAGTGTCTAGGTTTAAAGAAATTATAGAAGCAGTGTTGGACAGGCGTCTACATGAAAGAAATGAATAAATAGGCAGAGAAAAGATCACGAGAAGAAGCTGTGAATTCCTGAAGGAGGGACTGATAATCTCTGGACACAGAGAGATCGACAATGAAAAGATAAAAATTCTTTATCACGAGTTTCTGATCTGTCTTCACCAAAAATCATTACCCCTATACTACCATTAAATCTCAACTGCCTTCCTTTGACCTTTGTTTCTCTTTTCTCTCCCTCTCACTCTTCTCTTTTATACAACAATTTCTAATAAGCCAACGTTGTCATATCATCATCACAATTTTTTATTTTTTATTTTTAATTCTTCTGTGGACAAATGAAAACAACCTTTTGACTGTATTGCTACAAGGGGGAGTTTCCTTTTTATAGGACTATTTTGCCCCTTTTAACTTTTAATGGAAAGGCATTTTTGCCCTTGTTTGTTTGTTTCTAATTCCAAATCTAGCCTAGCTGTTTTTATAGAGAGGGGGGTGCCCAAAACCTGACTAGAAATAGTGCAAAATTTTCACTTTGACCATCTAACTTAACCCATCAATACAAGAAATCAGACCTGTCCACGTTATCTAATAACATTAAATATATTTATAATATCTTAATTCAAAGCTACAATTATTTGTTTATGAACTTTACTATAGAGAAAATTATGAGAAATTCCTAAGTTTTGTTGTGGTGGGTCATAGCTGCAGCCAGCAATTGAAGAATGCTATACGTGTGTTTGGGAAAATTTTGTTCTCATTTTTACCATGCAGGTTCGTATTTAAAGAAGGTGCATAATTTGTAGCCTATTTGACAAACATAAATTGCCCCCACGCTTTTGGATATATTCTCTATTTTTTTTAATCAATTAAATTGATTTTAATTTCCAAAACGAATTGATTAATTTTCTCTTTTGAGATCGCTTAGTATTAAAACATCATGGTTTGATATGTTGAAGGAGGTTTTTTAATATTTATTAGGGGCTTCTTAAGTTGATTGTTAACAGAGAAAAGTTGGTCAAATCAAAACTGGAACACCCTTTCCCACTGTAGCTATCATGCCAAAAAGTCAACTATTAAAGGCAAATGAATACATGAAATGATTCAATTGAAAACCCAAGTTACAAAACTCCAGACCGTCTATAATCAAAGGGCTAGAACATGAGAAGCAGAAACACGTAAAGAGAAAATGATATGATGAGTTCCGTATATAATTTTTTATATTTAGAATTTGAGAATAATTCAATCAAAATCAATCACGTTAGTCATCTCTTTTGTATTGTAATTGTAAACAACTTTGATCTTTCTAGGTGCCGACTTCTGGATTTTTCGTACAATTTATCACACCTATTTTTCTTTTTTTATTTCAGTGACAATTAGTTGTTTTATCTCGAGTAATTATATTTATTATTACAACCATAACTTCCCTCTCAAATATAATCATTTAGACATGCCAATTCTAAAAAATCATTTAATCAATTTAAGTAAAAATATTGTCAGTTAAAATCCAGTTGACAAGCCTTTCTATCTCAATTAAAATCCTCTCTTATATAATTATCTTCCTTCACCCTTATTTGCAATGTAATCAAACTTATTAAATCAATAACTCTTTTGTTATTCTTTCGCAATATGATAAATTTTACTATTTTATCCCTTAAAATATATCCATTTGGTTCACTATTATTCCCTATCATATTTCACCATTCATACCTAAAACCCAAAATACATTGGTTTTAATATTCTCAAAATCTAATTATACTTTATTCAACTTTCAAAATATAATAATTACTTTTTTCATAAAATAATTCAATTTTTTTTTTTAAATAATCTTTTTAAAAACATTATAAGAGTATCTTCAAATGACTTGTTTATATAACTCAACATCTTTATTATAAAGAGTTTATCCATAGAAACAAGAGTTCACAGACTCTTTATTCTTTAAATATAAATTAAAGAGTAAGTTTGATTCTCCATATTTAGAAATCAATTTCACTCATTATCCTAATTTTAAATAATAATATTATCTCTCCTATTAAATTTTTTTCTTGAAAAAATATTTTTTTCTCTTTAAAATTTAAAAAATTTATTGTATTTGAATAAAAATTTTATTTTTTATATTTAAAAATTAATAAAATAATGCTATATAACGATTCAAACGAACCAGTTTTAATAATCCTTATACTGTTTGGGAGAGAGAGAAAACGAAATTCGATTGTGTTTACAAGCTTGAGAGCACAACACCAATCCCGAACAACAATGACGAATTTGCTGAAATACCTTGAAATTGAGAAAATTTCAGACCAGGCGGTTTGTCTGGTTTTGCGGACGACAAAATGCATTAAAATAAGAGCGGCTACTGGGGCGATCGGGTGGTGTCTGAAAGTATATCCAAAATTTCTGTCCTGCAAGGAATTATCATCACACTGCCATTTTATTTCCTTGGAATACGCCCACCTGTACGTACTCTCACGCGCATTTATTATAATTCTCTTTTTCCTACAACTGCATTTACCATTCCTGCTCTTGTTTTCCCTACTCTCCCACCTAGCGCGTTCAGATCTTTATATTGTGATTTGTCCGAGATAATTTATTATTAATTTATTATTATTTTTTATTTTTGTCTCTAATTTAAATTAACCAGATTGTGATCTACTTTAAATAAAAATAACGTTTTCTTGTATAAAAGTAATCAATAATAAATAGTTTCGTAAAATATTGTTGTCTCACCAATAATACTTGCTAAAGGAATACCACTGTCATTAAAATTAGGCACGGTCAAAGTTGACCATATTCCATCGAGTCCTGTTGAAAATACACTTGCGCATTTGTTAAAAAAGTTGTCGAAGAATAAGATTATATGATGCTATTGTTTAAATGTGGTTACATATAGAACATATGATAAACATAAAATTGCCTACAACAGATACATAAATGACCAATTAACCTACTAACTTTATCTTCATCGATAACTCAAATATTCAATTCTTAGTTACTTAATCTTCTTTATACTCTTATTGACAACAAAACACAAACCTCCATTTTCTTAACTATAAATGGAAAACCTCAACTATAAAAACTCAACTCTCAATCTCTCTAATCCAATTCTCAAATTCTCTTCAATTTAATTTATATTTACATTTATTCATATTATTATTTATATTATTCAAATTTTTACATTTTTCAATTTAATCTATTATTCAATTTCTTTCATTTTAATTATTTATTATTTTATTATAAATTCATAATGGATTCCCGAAATTATGCATTTGGAAGATCATCCCCAAATGAGTTTTATGTTCCATCCACCGATGAAATTGAAGGGTTCGATCCATTTTCACCCTTTTAAGAAGCAGCAACTTCAATTCCACAACCACCAACGGTTGGGACTGGGTCTAACCAAATACAAGCGAGCTACGACTCCACGACCCGACCATTAAAGAGGATCATGTCCAAGGTATGACAATTCTTCACCAAATCAAAATGGCCAAAGCTAAATGGGTTAGGGGAAGAGACGTGTAGGAAATGTAATTTTTGTTCAACTATTGTTGGCACTGAGAACGAGACTTTGACGATGCGTCGACATTTGGAGAAGAAGCACTCCCAACATATGCAACAGTCCCATCAATTCGGTTCAAGTTCAACCGCACCAGGTAGGCAAATTCAAACTCAATTTAATTTTAATCCACAATCATCAACTCTCTCAAGATGGCAATACAATGCACTCACAGCACGAGAGTACATAGCAAAATTCATATGTGCTATGGACTCTCCTATTTCTTTATCTGAAAATCATTATTTTGTTGAATTGATTAAAAATGTTTTTCATCCAACATTTACCCCTTTTGGTAGAGGTACAATTAGAAAGGACACAATAAAACTTCATGATAAAATAAAAAATCAACTTAAAAAAGAATTTCAAATTTTTTGGAATATATTTATTGTACTTACTTTAGATATATGGGTTGCTAGATCAAAAACATATTTTTTGAGTGTCAAAATACATTATCTAGATCATGGTTGACATTTACAACAAAAATTGATAGGTTTTAAAGTATTATATGAAAAATATAGTGCTGAAACTATTTATTTTACAATTATTGAAGTTTTGTAAGAATATTTATTATCTGAGAGAGTTATAGTAATAACAATTGATATTGCAGCTACTAATACCTCGACAATTTCTTTATTTGAAAAAAGATTGGACCTGTCTGGTAAAGGCAAATTTTTTCATCAGAAATGTGTTTGCCACATCATCAATTTGATTGTTAAAGTACATTTAAAAACTATACATTCGAGGATTGAAGGATGCATGCAGCTATCGGATTCATTATTGGTAGCAATTCAAGATGGACTGAATATCGTAAATATTGTTGCCAAGAGGATTCGCCGATTGAACCAAAGAAGTTATTTACGGACATGCCTATCTGCTGGAACTCCATGTTAGAGTAGATGCCCTAGAGCCAATCAATTATTGTAGAATTGACTCTTTGTAATAATGTTCATTAATCAATAATAAAAGGCATTTTATTCTATATCGCGTAAATCATTATTATTGCAATATGTATTGATATATGTCCTTAGAATGGTAGAACCGTGACGAGGGTATCAAGTGTTTCAAATCTTGATAGTGAGAACCCTATGAGCACATATGGTGGCCATTCTAGAAGTTCAGTAAGCACAGTATTATTCTGAAGTAGGGCAAAGATATACGGTAAGACTATCATAGTGTGAACGACCCTGTCGAAAGGCAGTGACTGATCTCACTTGTCAAGGTTGTTTGGTGACAACCTGGTGCACAAATGGGTGTTGTGAGGCGATTACACACACAGCAAGTTCACTAGACTGACCCACCAGAGGATTCCATATGGATGGTAACCCTAGTGTCTATGGAACAAATCCTCTAATGAATGGTGGTGCATGTGATCCTTAGACTTGAGATCACCGGAGCGTCTTGTGCACTGATTGGTACAGTTTGACACTAACCTAACGCAGTTCTATTCAGAGGTCAGTACGGTGGTGATTGGCTATATCAAGGAGTGTATCAAGATTATGGTGGATTGATAGAGGATTCATCACTCCCGGGTACGGGAGAAGTTATCTCACGGCGCAATTCAGTATATGGCAATGACACTAAAACTGTGGCCACAGGGATTGAGTTGTTGCTCTATCAGATTATAATACGGGTCATGGTCCAGAAACTGAATATATAATATCGAGAGTAACCGAAGGTTGACACTATTTCTATGCCTTCGTCTCGTCGAGATAACGTATGATGAAAGGA